TGAACTAATTTTTTACGCACCTCATCCCAAACCTTCCGTTGCAAATTCCAAAACGTCATTTTAGAGCTAATAACGGAGGCTTGAGCCATTGATATGCAGGCTAATGCAGTCTAATGGGGTTATTAGAGAGAGGGAGAGAGTGATTAAGTGCGTGTGAATACCTGCGTCTATGCGTCTCTCAGCAGCAGCGTCTTATATCTCTTCATTGTGTTTGAGCCCCCCTGGACGAGCAAACATAGGCACGTGCCTAGAATGCCTATGCGTAAACCCGGCCCTGCACACAGCATGCATTCTTGCATTACTGCAAAGATAAACTCCAATAGCAGGCAATAGAAGTTTAGAACCTTTGAATGTTTGTATTATTCAATTGTTTTATGATTCAAGTAACTAGCAAGATTCAAGTATCTGACCACAAAAACCTCATGAAATGGTTTGATGAGCAGTTTTGTTGTATCCTGTATTGACATATTTCCTTTTGAAACAGGAAGTTAATGAAGGAAGTATCTTAAGCGAATGTGTACATGTGATGTACGCACAAATATGTTCTTTACGTTCAACTTGCAACATGCACCTTCAATTGTTTTGCACGAATTAATTTGCCCACAAGGTGGCAACACTGTCCTGACCGACGATAGACAAGTGCAAGGGGAGGGGGTTAACAAATACTCTCAACTCTAAATGAGTACAACAGCATTTTTACTGGTAATAACTTCTGGGAAGAAATAGCACAGACACTGAATGAGGACAAAACTTTCTAGTTTGCTTGTGTCGAGCACCTGTGTTTATGCGAAGTGTACTTTGAAAAGATATTTGTTGGGCTGTGAACATTAGTGTTAACTTACAACTAAAAAAGTAAACTTTGAGCTATAATTTACATGAAAACACTGAACAATGACTTGCTATTGCTAGTCAGAGATAGGTGGCATTGGGGGAGGGACATTCTCATTCCAGACAGCATTTGATTGGACACTGAAAAATTGATAAACACTTGGGATTGCAAGATAAATCAACATTATTAAAACTGACTAAAGAACACTACAATGCCTACTGAGAAATGAATTGATAATTGAAACTTTAAACATGATGCATTTCGAGTACAGTTCTGTATCCGAAAATGAATACTAACGCACAATATAGCAGGCAAAAAACTGTGTGAAATGAGTATTTATGTCCAAATTTGTGTTTGCAGAAAAATAGGTGAAAAGTACACAGATGGCCTACTACTTCCAACGAGATTTTGAAGTGTGCGTACATTGGACACTTTTCGGACACACATCATGTTTGTGTAGAAAGGAGGTGTATTTTGACGCCTAATGCCATTCGCAAATCTGCAGACGGGGGTCTAAATGCATGTGGAAACTCTCTCGGGATCAAGTTACCCTAAGGAAAATGTCCTGTCTGTATGTGTATTCTCTGAGGACAGACGTCACCGCGTAAGTGCATTTGAGCGGGAATCTCTCCGGCATCAATTATCCTTAGACAGGTCGACGCTTGACAACATGGGGTCCTTCCCCCTCTAATATATTAGAATGTGTTCAATTCATTAATGTTATTATCACGCCAGAGGCGAGTGCACACAAGTGTGTCCACACGCATCTCATTGCAGGGAGAGCTATGAAAGAAATTTCACCAAAACAACGGGAGGGAGAAATTGGGGGGAACTAAAGAGGGACATGACTGACCACACAAAGAACGTAGATCAGGGGTGCCCAAACTCGGTCCTGGAGGGCCGGTGTCCTGCAGAGTTTAGCTCCAACCCCAATTAGACACACCTGAACCAGCTAATCAAGCTCTTACTAGGCATACTAAAAACTTCCCACCAGGTGTGTTGAGGCAAGTTGGAGCTAAACTCGGCAGGACACCGGCCCTCCAGGACCGAGTTTGGGCACCCCTGACATAGATGGAAACAGGATGTTTTATTGGGAACACCGCAGCCCAAACACCTTCCTTAGAAAGTGCGGTTTTAAAGGGAACTGACAAATGATTTGCTTGGCTCGAGTTTGCACCTCCTCACGGGACAATCCTGCATACACAGTATTCGCTCAAAATGAAGGACAAGTAAAGGACAGCATTCCCACAAAAGAAAACCAAATATAGGACATTAATCATAGCAAGGATGATGTCAGGCAACCTAAACCCAGCATTCACATCCTAACAAGGCTGTACATGAAAAATTAGAGCAGGCCTGCAGGGCTCAATACTCACGCACACGCCTGCTCAGAGGATGTTTAGGCCTAAATGATAATGCGCATTTAAATATTCAAATTTGCAGAACATCTGTTTATCTAGCGTCCTTTGGAGTGCAAAACGGGTTTATAAGTAATCAGACCTGGAAGAACACTCAATCTATGCAGTAATCCTGAACAAACTGACTAATCTACTCACCACCCTGTTATTACTCAAATCCTTAAATTGATTTCGGTCCAGCGTGTCTTGTTTGCCTGCGGGGAACGAGGTAATATGTCTAGATGGACGACTATATACTCACAGGACATAGTCAAAGGTTTATCAAGTAGACAGAGATCATAAACAACATACATATGCAAAAATAAAGGTGCATGCATGGTAAACAAAAGTATAAATATACGTCTCAAATGAGTATTAACAATATCAAAACAGACTACTGGCTAATTCACAGATAAAAGCTTATGGCGAACATTTTCCGCATGGCTGTCGCCTCCTGCTGGTGGTAATGAATTTACACCTCAAATTCAGTCTGATTGGACTTGAACTAATAAAACCACACAAACTAGGAAATTAAGGACATGTTGTATTATAGTACTGGCTTTACCTGAAGTTTAATTCTAGGGATCAAATACATTTTTCGTTTTCTGATGATGTCAAACCAAATACAAGTAATCATAGCCTGAAAACGGGTCAAAAGCATTGAATACAGTTCATAAAAATGCAAAAGTTACATATGCATGATGATGAAATGATCAAGTATTATAAGACATACTAAAAACCTAGTCTTTGTGTAGTATAATTCTAAACAGAGGATGTTTTATCGTGTGTAATACCTGAACGGCAAGCAGCTTTAGTGTTTCGGAAGTTGGGAGACTTTTGTAATGAATAACTGTAGTGTTAAAATAGCCACAAATGCGTGTCTTATAGCACCTTTGATTAATCTGAATGTGGAGTATAAAGGCATATATCAGTATAATATAGAACTGAAGGCACTGGCAAACACCAACACACGCATCTATACATAAACTCTATAGCGTGTGGTCAGTGTGCATTTCATCTTTGGCAGAACAGCTGACAACTGTTTATATTATAATGTGTGTGTCCCTGAGGCCCTGTACACAAGGTAGCAAACAGACCACACACAACATGGCACACTGGCACTAAATATCATTTAACACGTCTTACTCTCTTCACACAATCAGACGGACGAAATACCAAAAGACACAAGCACAAACATACACACAAAATTATAGGATATGTGTTCCATTCCATCTTCTGGGCCGCCAAGCAAAAGTTCATGTTGCATAAAAAAATATAAAGGCAGCGAAGAGAAAAGCTTCAATACTGTGGATTGAGATTGAAAAACTGATACGAATGCAAAAATAATAAGATCAGTTCAGCGTTTGGGGGAATCAATACTGAAACCAGCATGTGAAAGAGTGCAGATCAAGTCCAGTGGTTTTGGAGTCCACACACTGCACATATTATTCCTTCTCTGCTGGCAGACAGCATCTAAATCATGAACTGAGTGTATCCCTCTGCCCCCGTTACGATAACATCCATCCATATTCTCATAGCTTCTGGAGAGGGCGCCACCATGTAGTAAACGCGATCATGAGTCTTCACACTGAACGTAAGTGAAGGGTTTGGACTCTAAGAAAGACAGGAGAGAGAGAGAGAGAGAGAGAGGGGTAAGATTACAGTTTGGCCTCTAGGGGGCAGCACTGAAACATTAAAACACGTAAGTCCACACTTTGGTCCTGAAGAGCCACGGTCCTGCAGAGTTTAGCTCCAGCTTGCCTCAACAAACCTGCCTAGAAGATTCTAGGATATCTTTTAAGACCTTTATTAGCTGGTTCAGGTATGTTTAAATGGGGTTGGAGCTGAACTCTACAGGACAGTGGCCCTCCAGGAGTAGGATTGGACATCCCTGAATAAAAAAAAAAAAATGTAGTAGTAATTAAATTTTTTAACCCTTGTTTATTAAATAATAAATAACAATAATTATCTTATTATAGACTTGACTTTATTTTAAAAGTTATTTTAAAAACATTAGCCATTTATAGTTTTCATAATAAATGTCATGGGCAAATGTTAGCTGTTATTAATGATTTTAAATGTTAAATGTTCAATAAAATACATGTTATTAATTACTAATGTCAATAAATTATAAAATCAAAAATATCAAACGTTAAGCTAAATTTGAAATGACATTAAAAGAACATTTAAATATTAAAATGATTGTGTTTAAATATTTTAATTATTTTAACATTAAAATCAAAGCTAAAAATTACTGTAAACACAGTATATAAAAATTGTATTATATTGATAATTATCAGTTGCAGAGGAAAAGTACCTTGTGGGCACTCTTTAAGTGGTCGTAATATACTTCCTCTATGGCCTGGAAATAAATCACTCCTTTCAGTTTGGCCTCGTGTTTATCTGAAACCGTATAAAAAGTATAAAAATCAATACTGATATAATTTCAATCGACCAACTTCATGAGTGAATAAGTGCAGGAAAAACAAAAAATCACCTGCATAGTAGCTCAGGGTCCTGCGGTTACGGTCGAAGACAAACCAGCGCTTCTTCCAGGTTTTGATTTTGCCGCCCATTTTAATGAGGAAGCCCCTGCAGGTTTTCTCTGTGATGGAGACGTGGTAACAAGTCTCTGTGTTGTGGCCGGCCGAGTCGATGTGGCCACGAAGGTCGAAGTCGTCCTTTCTTACAGGTAGGTAGCGTGTGAGGGGACGAGACTGTGGCAGGGTCACATACAGTATAGGACATTAAGTATTTGTTAAAACTAGTTAGCTCTTATGTGGCTGCTAATATGTTCTGAGTGTTTTAATATGTTTCCATGTAGTTTCTAGTGTGTTATGAGGTTGATAATCTGTTCTGAGTGTTTTAATATGTTGCTAAGTGGCTTTGGGTTTCACTCATGTATGTGATGATATGGGGTGAGTTACAAAAATGTGTTCAAATCTTTAAGTTAAATACGAGTAATAGCAATGCATGTCTTAGCACAGAACTCACCTGTGCTCTCTGTTTCTCACGAAGTTTCACCTCTCTCTCGATGAGTTTCTGCCTCCTGCTGGTTTCTTCTTGCAGCCGTTTTTCTAGCTCTTCTCGCCGTCTCCTCTCCTCTTCAAGAGCCCTGCTCTTATTCTCCATCTCTCTCTCCTGAGACACATACAAATGACACTGTTCTGTACCGAAACAAGTTGCTTTTTAAAGCTGCACATAAGTAGTACTCTCCGTTCCAGCCTAAACTCCCATGAACGACATCAGAAACAGGAAGACCGACTCGTTTCCCACAGCGTTCCTGCATTTCAAGCCGAATTGGTTTCTGTTTATGGCTGACCGAGAAACTTCTAACAGAGTAAACAAGCTCACGGTTTAAGATCCGTGAAGCCAAATGGGGTTCATTTGGGTTTATGGCGTGCCGAAAGACTGGATTGTGAGACTGATGTCAGCTCTAGCAAGAAGTGGCAGGTTTGTGTGGCCGTTTCATTACCCTGTGTTCCAAGAGCCGGTGCTTCTCTGCCTGAGCCTCCCGGAGAAGACGTTCCATCTCCTCGATCTTGGAAACATTGGAGGTGCTGGCGCTGCAGAAAAAAAAAAAAAGCCTATGAGATAAGGCATTACATTTAACTTTTCAGAGCGAATGCTACACCAAAGAAATCTCAACTAGGCATGTGAGAAGAATGCATACACTTGCAAATGTAAATATGTCCTATGTGCATTGGCATGTATGTATGTATATGCTGGAGAACACAGAAGGAACCAATAAAGCTGGTCAGCACTGGAACACATTAACAGTCCAGGCGTAGAGAGCTTGAGAGTGCGGCCCACAGTCTGATGCTTTCCATTTAGACTTCAAAAAGAACACGTGGATGGAATCTGACCAGCCCCTCCTGAGATAAGGCATTACATTTAACTTTTCAGAGCGAATGCTACATCAAAGAAATCTCAACTAGGCATGTGAGAAGAATGCATACACTTGCAAATGTAAACATGTCCTATGTGCATTGGCATGTATGTATGTATATGCTGGAGAACACAGAAGGAACCAATAAAGCTGGTCAGCACTGGAACACATTAACAGTCCAGGCGTAGAGAGCTTGAGAGTGCGGCCCACAGTCTGATGCTTTCCATTTAGACTTCAAAAAGAACACGTGGAATAGATCTGACCAGCCCCTCCTTTCAGTAAAACTTCAAATTTCCCCCTAAAACCTTCACCTCACTGCTTGGCTCCGCAATATCATCCTTAAAACCTTCACCTGTAAAGAATATATGGGAATCATCTTACACGTCAAACCCTTTTGTCATTACTGGCATTCCCAAAACAGCTGTCCATAAAACAAAATATACCCTCCAATAATACACTTTCCAGTAACTGATAACGGACAAAGGCAACGACAGTTCTTGCGAACTACAAAAGAACTGAGCAAAGTTGAAGCCTAACTGGTTTTTGCATAAATTAAATGCAATCAATCAGCGTGCATAATTTTCTGTCAGATATGCAGATAAAAATCAACACATAACCGTTTAGGAGTTGACAAGCTGGCTATTGATGGTTAGATAGATGGAAGAAAGAAAAGACCAATCACAACTTATGCAAATATTAAACAGGAGGACTAATCAGAATTCCCTGAGCAGATTTCTAATTACTGTGCCAATCTTGCATGCAAAGTAATTTGATTTTTCTAGATGTTTCTATGAACGTGCTGAAATCGACTGGTTTCGTTTTGGAATCTGGTGATGGACAGCTGTCAATCATTAACAAGATGCCTCTGCATGCATGATGAAGACTTTATAGTTCTTATAGCAGGTTTACAAAAGCTTGTTTTGACACTTTGTTGTTAATTCACAAATAAAGATGCAATTCACAGATTATCCAAAATCCAAATCAAGACAATCCCATCATGCAAACATCAAACCCATCATGCAAACCTGCTCCATTATGTCTATAACGGATTTAAAATAAATAAAACAAATAAATTATTTTGTTCATCTTCTTCTTTGTTGTTCCATCTGATCGCCAAGCCATAACTGCTGGCCACCTTGTTTCCATCTTTTCCATTCCTCTGCATCAATCAGTTCTTTCATCTTTATGGTATCTTACCAGTGATGCCGGAGATGAACAGAGGTCATTCCTGATTTAGAACCCAAAGAACCAGTAGAGAGAAGTGGAACAGAACACACAAAGACCCAAGAACAGCCTGAACCTGCGCTCTGCGGCTGATTACATTCAAACTGAGGGGAAGAAACCCTGAATCTGTTTCCTCTAACTGTTCCTGCTGTAACCTGAGTGTATCCATCCCCGGAGCAGAGGAGGGGGTACCAACGGTCCTTCTCAGGCCCCTCAGAACTCACATTATTCAAGCAAACCACTCAAATTACACAAGCGCCGATCTGCTGCCTCCTGCACACACACACACACACGCATACAGCATAAACACACATCGCTCCGAGTAATGACCTCATGTGGTCTCATCTGTCAAAGTCTTTTCACTAAGGTCTTCAACTAATCACTTTCAAACAGACTTGAGGTTTATGGTAACCTAGATGAGACCAGTCACCAGAGCATTCAAATATGGTTCCAGGATTTCAGTTGCTCTGTCTTTCTCTCTATTCTTTCCTCACACGTTGCCCTTGTTCTCAATATTTCATTCATTGTACCCCAGACAGAACTCTTGGCTTGAACTACAATAGGAGCTGTGGAAATGTTTTCAATTACAAAGACATGGTATGTGTCATGGGTTTATACGATCCATCTGTAGATCTGGAGAAACACACTACAGTCTGAATCTAAGTGGGGACATACAATAGATTTCTACTGTTTTTATATAATATAAATACTCTTTATATATTTTTTTATTTATAATTACATTTAAATTTAAACCATCATTCAGATGTTTGGGGTCCGTAAAATGTTTTTAAAAGCAGTCACTTAGGCTCAACAAGGCTGCGTTTATTTGATCAAAAATATGCAGATTTGGTGCTAAAGAAACAGTTCTTATTATCAATTTTGAAAAATGTTGTGCAGCTTAATATTTTTGTAGAAAGCGATTTTTATTTAGATTATTTGATTAATAAAGAATTCAATAGGACAGCATTTAAAAAAATTAATTACACACACACACACACAAATATATATATATGGTGCATCTCAAAAAATTAGAATATCATGAAAAAGTTAATTTATTTTTGTAACATTTCAAAAAGTGAAACATTCATATATTCTAGATTCATTACAAGTAAAGTAAAACATTTCAAAAGTTTTTTTGTTTTAATTTTGATGATTAGAGCTTACAACTCAAAAAAAAAAAAAAT